TGCTCAACCTCTGAGCCACACCAGCCAGGCTAGTAAAGTGGCATTTAAAACCAAGTTCCAACCCTGACCAGTTTTTCTCAGTGGTTAGAGCGTGGGCCTGCGGTCCAGAGAGACACGGGTTCGGTTCCTGCTAAGGGCACGTGCCTCGGTTTCAGTTTGTCCCCGGCCCTGGTTGGGTCATTTGGGTGGCAGCCACTCGATGTGTCCTTTTCACATTGATGTTTCTCTTTCTCTCTCTTTCTCTCTCTCCCACATGCTCTGTCTGAATAAAGAATGGAAAAATGTCCTCAGGTGAGGATAAAAAAATAATAGTGATAATAGTAATAAAACTAAATTCCATAGCCACCTCTGTAAGTTACTCATTTTCCCCTGGGTCGCTCCCATTTATACCTGTTATATAAACTTCTTTCTTTTCTTTTGTTAATCTGTCTTTTATTACAGGGCGTCTCAGTTAAGAGCTCGGAAGGCTAGGGGGGATTTATCTTTCCTCTCCTACAAAGCGGTGAACCATTGCAGGTTTTTCATCTGTGTGTCTGCCTGGATCCCAACTGTGCTTCGGAAGTCGGGGCCACCTGTGCGGGGGCCCCAGCAATCATCCACACAAGGTGGGGTGATGGCGTAAACTGTGTTTTGAGGACATGGGTTAATTCTGTGATGCTGGGCAAGGCTTTTCTCTTTCCTGTTTTCCTCCTCTCTTGGATGATCCTGGGCCTTCTCCAAGCTACGTGGCAGAGAATGCAGGTCTCCATTGCCAGGTAAGGCAGACCCAGGAGAAACCCTTGAGGAAACACATCACAGGAAAGGCAGGGAGGCTGCGGGAAGCAGGGATTCCCAGGTGCCTTTGGCAGGAGGGGAGCAGCAGGGACCAAACGCTTCTTTAAGCCTACAGGTCGCTTGGTCAGTGACTCTTGGGTGTGCATGGCAGGGGGGTCTTAGGGGTGCACACAGAGGGAAGAGGAGTGATTTAGAGGTTCAACGCAGAATCCCCATCAACTTGCATTCAGAATGAGAAAGGCCGTAAGACCCCCACCTGGAATGTAGGACCCCTGGGCCACCCCTGACTTGAACTGTCAGCCCAGCAGACTAAAAGTCCCCCAGATTTTTCAGCCTACCTGATCCCTTATAAATGTAATCTTGGGTAAATGTACCCTTATAGATGTCATCTTCGTTAAATTACTCTATGTTCCCCCACACACACACACACATTCACAGATGTTTACAAAAATGTTCACGGAGATTGAGTTTCTCATCCAAGGTCACAGAGCTATTAAGTGCTAAGGTAGCTCCCAAATCCAGTTCTGCCCCCTCCATTTTCATAAGCAGCATAGTTTCTTTCAAGCAGCATGATAACAAGATTTGTCCTTGTTATAAAAACATGTAAACAGCCCTGGCGGGTTTGGCTAAGTGATTAGAGTATCAGCCTACGGTCCAGAGAGACCTGGGTTCGGTTCCTGCTAAGGCTGCGTACCTCGGTTGCAGTTTGTCCCTGGCCCTACTTGGGGTTGTGCGGGTGGCAGCCACTCGATGTGTCCCTTTCACGTCGATGTTTCTCTCTCTCTCTCTTCCTCTCTCTCCCTCCCACTCTATCTGAACAAAAAATGGAAAGGTGTCCTCCGGTGAGGACAAAAGAAAACCATGTAGACAGATAATGCTGCAGTGAATAAGGTTATGAGTCCATTGAAAGAAGTCTCTTCTTTTGTAGTATTAAGACCCCTTTGCATATTCATTCATTCATTCATTCATTCATTCATTCATTCATTCATTCATTCGTGTGTTCTCTCTCCAAGCATGCATTGGGAGACTTGTAGGGTATGGAATGAGACCCCTACAGGCAGAGACAACATTTAGCCAGTAGCCTCAGGGAGGCTGTTAACTTCTGATGTGCTGGGCCTGCGACTTGCAGGGTATTAAATGTCTGTGCTGTTTCCCAGCCATCAGGGCAACTGTGTACACACTCTAAGAGCTCAGTTGGAATGCGTGCAGCCCGAGGCTGGGGTGTGGACTGAGCCTGGAGGCAGAGTCAAGAGGCAGGGACTCAGATCCAGCCTTGCTACATTCTGTCTTTGTGTGACCTTGTGCACCTCACTTTCTCTGGAAATCAGCTTCTCTGCGGGTAGGAAAGTGGGCATGGCCTGCTACCATTTTTGTAAAAACAAACAGTGTCTCTGAGCCTGGGCACTCACACAGAAGCCTGTGGGCAAGGATCCGCACAGTGGTCTTTGGGGAGCAGACCCATGGGGAGGAGGTCTTTCCACTGTGTCTAACCTCTTTTAATTTTCCATAGCAAGCATTTGTTGTAATATTTTTAAGTGAACAGCTTAAGTCCGACTTGTTCCTGTTTTGCAGGAAGTCACAATTCTCATTCAAGGTCACACAAAGCCTTGGCAGCTGACTCAGGCTGTCTGCCTGTGTGTTCCTTACGCTACTCGTGAACAACTGGGGAGTGTGAGGCTGGGCACGTCCTAATCCTGGGCCTCTGCAAAGGCTGCCCTGGGCTGATAACCACACATCCTCACAGGGTTTTCCTTGCCCTCAGCCTGCTGGCATCTGACCTACGTCAGCAGATGCTCAGCCACTGCTCAGTCAAAGCACGTTTACCTTCTCTTGTGTCACTGCTATGAAACCCACCCCACCAAACCTGATGGATTTCCAGACTCCTTTGGATTTATAGCGACATGAGGTGATTGTTCCTATCACAAACCTAGCCGACTGAGCAGGATGTGAGGAAACAGAATGAATCCTTGTCCCTGGCCTAGGTAAAAGGTCTGAGCCGGCAGGAGATCACATCCACAACGCAAGGCCAATGCAGAGCAAAATGGCTTTATTGCATGTGCCTGGGTGCAGGCAGGCTGAGCTGAGAAAGGTTCAGCTCCGAAACAGGATTGGGGTGTCGGTTATATACCCTACTTTTAGCTTCCAGCAGTTCCTACCGATGTGCTTTATCTAGCCATGGTCCACCTTGCAGTAGGGCTGGTCCGGTATCTCGTCCGGCATCTGCTGGGTTATCCATTGCCTTGTGGATAATCCAGATAAACCTTATCCGTACTCAACAAAAGGCTAAGCAAAGGTCATGCAAGCAACACAATTTCCACAGTTTCGCCTTTTGCAAACTTTTACCTTTACCCCTTAAACCATTACTAACCCTTTCCCTGGCCGGTTTGGCTCAGCGATTACAGCGTCGGCCTGCGGACCAGAGATACCCGGGGTTCGGTTCCCGCTAAGGGCACGTACCTTAGTTGCAGTTTGTTCCTGGCCCTGGTTGGGGTTGTGTGGGAGGCAACCACTCGATGTATCTCCCTCTCTCTCTCTCTCTCTCTCTCTCTCTCTCTCTCTCTCCCCCACTTCATCTAAAGTTAAATGCAAAAATGTCCTCAGGTGAGAATAAAAAATTAATAAATAAATAAACAAATAAAAAATAAAACATTACTAACCCTTTCACTAGGAAGATACACCAAGAGGAGGGAAATAAGCTTTACTGTTTTCCCAGGAAACAGTCTTCTCTCTAGCAAATAATCCATCCCAAATTACCTTATGATACATAAATCACACTTTATATTAAAAGAACGTAAAAATAGAGGTGGGAAAGAACCGTGGTGGTGGAAAGTGCATGAGACTCTGGATTCAGACAAATCTGGGTGCAAATCCAGGCCTTGGACAAATCACTTACCCCAATTTACTGAATGAACACTGTCCTTGGTGCCTGGCACTCTGCTGGGCATTTTGTATGCAACAGCTGAAACCTGGAGGGGTTTGTATTGTTTCATCTTATAACAGAAGAGGGAAGTGGGACTCAGAAAAAGGCCATGCAAGTAAGTGGGAGAACTCAACTGATGAAATGAAAGATCCTATTCAGATCTTGAGAGAGCAAGGCAGGCACCTGCTTTTCTAGATGGTGCCACCTCTCCCATGCGTGATGGGTACAAAGACTTCTGCTCCAAGCTCACTGCTGTAACCAGGTCTGACCCAGATGGTACCACTAGGTTATGTGATTCCAGGTGCCCTTTGCAGGAGCCTTGTTTAACTGCAAAGGCCTTAGGAGGTGCACAAATCAAGACCCTGACAACAACCAGGAAGGAGAAGCACCATGCTCAGATCAATGGGTGCAAACTGTTCTTTGGCTCACATGAACCTGGAGTCAAATGCTGGCTCCATCGTGTACCTGACTGTGACCCTGGGCACTTTACCTGACTCTCTAGGCCTCAGTTTCCTAAGGTGTGGTAGGAGATTGTTGAGGGCTTAAAATAAGATTATAAAGCACCTAGCCCAGGGTCTATTTTGAGTAGAGGCTAATCTCAGGGGACAGGTCTCCCTGGAGGGCTCCAAGCAGATGGAAAAGGGGGAGAAAAATTCTTCGGCCCTGGACTGTTTGTGGGGTACGCTAACCCCCCTTTAGCAGCTCTGTCCTGCTCACACCCAGCACTCTGAAACATTGACACAGCCACCTGTCACCTCTTAGAGTTGCCCTGAGCTTGCCCCAGTCCAAGAGGGGGCTCCCCTCTGAAATATCTGCTGATATTCCAGGAAACCAGCCTGGAGTGAATGTGACATGTGACTTCCCAGCCACAGTGCCCACAGGCTGGTTGGCCACCTGGCCAGAGGCCCAGGCTGTGTCTCTAGGCCAAGTCCTCACCCAATATGCGCCTGACACTTGCAATAGCAGGACGTTACCTGCATTCTGTGGCCAGCGCCGCGGTGACGAAAATATCAGGTGTTCAATAGATAAGGCTTGATTTTCTACATAGAGATGAATTCTCAGGCCCCTCGGGCAGCGGCCAGCTCTTCACAGGCCTGGGTTATCTCTCCCTGGCGCAGCCCAAAGCCTGGAATCAGCTAGGTTTCACTCCCCTCGGTGTTTCTGATGAGGCGCGTGCTTGAAATTCTTTCCTGAACACTTCAAGGAGAGGCGACTGGGGGAGGGGACTGCTCCTTAGGGAGGGGCCGGAGTCCGACTGAGTCAATGTCCGGTGGGTGGGCATATTTCAGCTCCCAGGCCAAGGCTCTCCCCTCCGAGACTCCACACCATGGAGGAGCTGAGGGGCAGCAGGCTACCAAGGCGACATTCTCCAGCTTTGGCCCTGTGCCGTGCGTCACTGCTGGTCCTGCTCTTTGCAGGGCGCAGCAGCATGGGGGATCAGGGAGTGCCCGGCATTCAAGGCTGCAAGCAAGCCCCGCAGACAGTGTCGGTGCTGGGGGCTCTGCCCGGAGGCGGCTGGGACAACCTGCGCAACGTGGAGCTGGGGTTGGTGCTAATGCGCAACTACTCACAGTGCCGCACCACGGAGGACGGCGAGTACCTGATCCCAGACCAAGTGCACGTAGTGCCGCAGCGGGAGAGCGTGGTGGAGACCCGCGCCGAGCTCATAGACGAGTGGCTCAGCTACACCGACACCTGGGCGGCCTCCATCAACACCGAGCTCTCCTTCCTCCCCAGCCTCAATGGTAAGTTCTCCGTCGACTTCCAGAACGTCAAGAAGTACAACCTGGAGTACGAGACGGTCACGACCAGAGTGCAGGTCCGCTACAATATCTACTCTGTGAAGGTCCCGGAGGCCCCCGACTTCCACCCCGCCTTTCTGCAGCACCTGCTGACCCTCAGCGACCACCTGGAGAACAACCAGACCCAGGAGGCCGAATACCTGGCAGAGATGCTTGTGCTCAGGTACGGCACGCACGTCCTCACCCACGTGGAGGCCGGGGCTACCTTGGTGCAAGAGGACCAGGTGAAGCGGGAACTGGTGGGCAGGCAGGCCGGAGAGAGAAGCAACATCACGTTGGCCGCCTCGGCCATGTTTTACCACGTGGTCAACGTCGGGGCCTCAGCCTCCTGGCAGGAGCAGAACCAGCTCATCCAGGACTACGTGCAGAACCTGGTAGCCTCCAAGACGCGCAGCCACGGCGGGGCGCCCTTCTACCCGGGCATCACCCTGCAGAAGTGGCAGGAGGGCATCGGCAACCGGTTGGTGGCCATCGGCAGGTCGGGCCTGCCCCTGCCCGCGTTACTGGAGCCCGAGGCGCTGCCTGAGCTCCCGGCGCCCGCCGTGCGCCGCGTGGCGGCCACCGTGCGGCGCGCCATCCACCGCTACTACGCGGTCAACGCACACCCGGGCTGCGTGAGGCTCGGGGCGCCCGCCTTCAATCCCCAGGCCAACGTGGACGACGGCTCCTGCGACGGCGGTCCCCAAGCCAACTTCAGCTTCGGGGGCGTTTTCCAGGAGTGCAAAGCCGTGTCCGGGAAGGACGCGGATGGCCTCTGCCAGGCCTATCGCGTCCCGAACCCACTCACCGGCAACGCCTCTTGCCCCGCCAACTACAAGGCCAGCGTCCTGCACAGCGAGCTGAAGACATCAAGCAAGACCCGCTCTGAGTGCCAGCAGCAGTGCCAGAGGTGCTGGCTCTTCTTCCAGTGCTGCCAGCCGCAGTGCGCCATCCGCGAGCAGCGCAGCGTGGTGCGCCTGGACGCCTCCTGGTGCGTGCCCACCCAGTCCTCCCTGCCTGCCGCTGCGGGCTTCCTCTTCGGAGGCCTCTACAGCCCCGACCACCCAAACCCGCTCACTAGGGGCCAGACCTGCCCCCCCTACTTCTACCCACTGGCACTCTTTGGGGACCTCAGGGTGTGTGTCAGCAGCGACTTAGAGCTGTGTACAGCCCAGGCCGTTCCTTTTGGGGGTTTCTTCAGCTGCCAGATGGGCAACCCCTTGGCCGGCCTCATGAAGGGCCAGAGCCCTGGGCTCCTGCAGGAGATGTTCTACCAGGACAGTCCCACAGCCCACCCCATGAAGTGTCCAGCAGGGTACAGCCAACACCAGGCTTACCTCAGCGAGGGGTGCCAAATCCTCTACTGCCTCAGGGCCGGGGCCCTCCTGGACCAGGAGCAGGCAGCTGTGCGCATGCCCCCATTTCTCCCCCGCCCCCCCTTGATCAACAACAGCTACCTCTCCTACCGGGTGGACGCCAGTGGTCAGCATGTCTGGGTGAGGCCGAAAGGCTCTGACCACTGGCAGCAGGCCAACATCAATGACCAGTCCCTGCCAGTCAACCCCTTGAACCAGGCTGGCTCCGGGCCCAGCCTCGGGGCCATTGTTGGCACCTGTGTGGGGACCACAGTGGCTCTGGTGGCTGTTGCTCTGGGGGTAAGCTATGGCTTCAGGTACTATAAGAAAGGGGGCTACCAGAAAATGCAGGGGGGCATTCTGACCCAGGAACAGAGCACCTACGGGGCCACTGAGCCGGATGCAGAACACGTCTCTGTCTGCACAGGCAACCCGGAGAATTCTGTCTAAACCTTTAAGTAACCAAACACAAATGTGGCTTGTTAGTAATTAAAGCTTTAGCCCATTCTGTTCCTTCTACCCTACATAAATAGTAAGATACCCAGCCAGAGCATAGAATTGGCCCCACCTTCTGAGCGTACCAATGTAGAACTAAACTGCTTCTTTGAACCTTCCTGTAACTCGCCTAACACATGTTCGTCCCTGTGACAATCCCTTTCCTTAACGTCCTCTGCCCTCTGCCCCCACCGTTCTCCATGGCGGCAAGGAGCCAATAAACCAGCTTTGTTCAAATACAGGTGTATTCCTGGTGGTCTCTGGGGGGGGGGGGGGATCAATAGGGAAGATAGAACATATAAGAGATATAATATAGTTATGAAGTTGGAATTTTTTTGGTAATTGTTATAAAATTTATTTTATCAATCTGTTTTCTCAGAATCATTGCCTCGGACCCCAAAAGTTCTCTTTTGGGCTGTATCTAAGTTGAGTTATTGTTTTTTTCTTTCAAATAGGTCCAGGCTTACTTGTGGATCATGAGATGACAGAAAATATAGTGTATTGCGTAAAATAAGTGTAAGAATTATTTTGTGAAATTTTGTTTAAGTGATATATTAAGTTGATCATAAAAAATGGTCCGTAATCTTTTTGTTGTTGTTAATCCTCACCCGAGGATATTTTTCCATTTTTTATTTTTCTTTCTTTAAAATGTTTTGTTCGTTGGTTTTAGAGAGAGAGGAAGGGAGAGGGAGAGGGAGAGGGGGAGGGGGAGAGAGAGAGAGAGAGATAGAAACAGTGATGGGACAGAATATTGATTGGCTGCCTCCTGCATGTCCCTCACTGGGGATTGGGCCCACAACCTGGGCATGTGCCCTGACTGGGAATCGAACCAGCGACCTCTGGGTGCATGGGTTGATGCTCAACCATTGAACCACACCAGCCAGGCTCCATTGATTTTTTAAAAAAAGTAGACGGGAAGGAGGGAGAGAGAGAGAAGGGAGAAACACTGACTGGTTGCTCCCACTTGCGCCCTGGCCAGGGCCAGGCTTTGCACCTGCAACCCAGACATGTGCCCTTGACCAGGAATTAAACCGGAAACCCTTCAGTGTGGCGGCTAATGTTCTAACTACTGAGCAACACTAGCCAGGACTCTAATCATTTTTGACTCAGGATAAAAATGGTATTGTTCTTTGGTTTAAACTAATATATATCAATACACTGGGTCACAGCATAAAATGTATTTCAAAGTGTGATCAGTCAAAACATGTAAAAGCCCCTGGATGTTTCCAGTGGATGTTCCATGAAGCTTAGCTTCAGAAAACATGCGAGTCCCCCCCATCTATCTTCCCCCTAACAGTTCCCACGGAAGAGTCTGCATTTTGGGTGTCCTGTCTAGCTCAGGTTTGCCATTCTCTAACCCAAGACAGCAATTTCTTGGGAACAAGGTTGAGTTTTGTAATGTTCTTGGGACACAGACCTCATCCCAATTTAACATCAGAGTGTGGGTCTCTGGTGGTCACAGGAAGCTGGTGTCCCTTAAACCCTAACTTGGGAATCACAGGGCATGCAGCACTGAAACCGGCAGATAACCTGTGGCCAGGTCTGGACTGCCTGTTGTCACGAAAGCCAAACTGGAGAGACAGGTGCTGAGGTGAAGGAGAGTTTGCAGCTGGGGAGATGGGACACCTTTCTTGTCCTGAAAAACCCATCTCCAGATCTCAGAGCAAGCAGAGGGTCTCAGAAGGAGGGCGGGGAGAAGCAGGACCAAGACATGGGGAAAGGACTGTGGTAGGGAGTGGAAGGGGGTTTCTGGTGATTTGCAGTCCTTGAATTTGAGTCCCTGGGGGGGTCTTGGGTCTTCATGAATATCTTCATTACTGGCCCCCGGAACGAGATGGCAGCCTTCTGAAACTGGTCAAGCGGTGATCAGGGGGCCTCATCTGGTGTTCCTGAGACCCAATCGATCGGTCTCGGTGGCCAGGCGTGTACGTTCAGGGCTTCGGAGTGTTTTGTCCTTGCCTGGTCAGGTGAGAACTGCCACAAAATCTTCGCCAGAAGACAAGGTTAGACACATACAGTCGATTAATCAGTTACTTACACGTTCTGTTAGTAAGAGGGTGGGAAAGGAAGAGACATTTTTAAAAATCATATTTGCATTCATCCCTGTGCCCCTCTCAGGACCTCGTCCAGATGAGCCCCTCGCTGGGTGAGTTTTTGGAGCCAGTTCTCAAGCACACGGAGAGAGACCCGGGCTCGGGCTCTGGCGCTTGGGAAGTGTGGCCTCGGGGGTGGGGGGGAACCCTGCCTCCCCGACCTGGGTGACCTCAGCGAGCCATTTTACTGCTTGGGGTTTCAACTACTCTAGCTGCAAACTGGAATGGATCAGGATACTGGGAATACGCCTATTTTACCAGAGAGGAAACTGAGGCTCAGAGAGCTTGAGTAGCTTGGACAGGAACCTGAAGCTGAGCAGAGCAGCCAAACCACGGGCGTCTGGGTCCGACGTTGGCCTCTGGCAATTCCTCCTGCCTCGGTTTGGTTCTCTCTGAGGTGGAGCTGGCGATTTATTCCCAGGTCACTTGGGAAGATTGAGTGAGCTAAAGGATGCCCAGACTTTGGAACATCCTGACCTTCCTAAAGTTGAAACCGATCGTGCTGATATTAGGGGTCTGATTTGATCCTGCATTAAGAGTTGGACCCCAGAGCCAAACCAGACAGACCCGGGCCGACTAGTGAGGAGACAGGGGCAAGCTAGGCAGTGAGGGACAAGACCATAGGAAGGGAAATAAACTGGAAGACCTTGTAAACACGGACAGGATGCAGCTTGCCTGCAGGGATCACCCTGTGAACAACAAGATGATTTATAGCTGAACCCAGTTTGGTGGGAAAACACAAACCTTAGATGTGGCAGAGGCAGAATTCTTTGAAAGAACCAATCAAAAGTTAGCAAGGCATATATCCACCCCTAGACAATGGAACACCATGGGCGACCCTTTTGGGTCCCCTCCCCTCTGCGGGGAGTCCGTCTGTCTTTCAAATAAACTTTCCTTTCACTTGCACTTTGTCCGTGAGCTCATGCCTCGATTTTGCGAGATATGAACCCGGACATGTACACCGTTGCTTGGTTTCACTAGCCCTGTGACCTTGGGCAAATTGTCTCTCCTTTCTGAGAACTAATTTTATCTACAAAATGGAGATAATCATATGACTATTGTTGCCAGGATCAAAGGAACTAATGCCAGGAAATCCTTAACTACAGTGCGTCAGAACTGTCAGACTGGCGGTAAATCCTAGGGTGACACGTTGATGGGAGCAGCAGCGGAGAGCTGGCTGTACCCATCTGTGCTCAGGGCTCACAGTGCAGTGGGTCAGACACCCACAAAACAGAAATGACTCATGGTGAAAATGCCATAGAGCATCAAATAAAAACCTTGTGGGGAAAGAACCGTGGGACACAAATTCTAACCGGGCTTCTGGGACCGGACAGGACTGCCCTCAGACAGGCACATTTTCAGATTTGTTCAGTTCTGACCTGGGAGGATCCTTTCAACAGCAACTGAAGGTCCCTCAATGATGGTCTCAGTTCATTTCCTGGAATAACCCCCAGGCTGCAAACACTCAGATTCCCCCCTCTCCCACCTCCCTAAAGGGGTGAGGTGGCGATTGGAGCATAATGGAGGTTTTGGTTTGGAATTAAAAAAAAAGAAGGGGGCCCCCCCTAAAGTCCAAATCTGAACTCTTATAGAGACCGAGAGAAGTGCTGGTCATAATTGCACAGGACACGTTAACCCGAACATGTCACTCCACCTCGAGAGGTGACTTGTTTGCCCGGGGCTGACCCACCTTGTCACCCTGATCGCTAGCTTCTCCCTGTGATGCACACCCACGGTGCTGTACACACTGGTCCCCACGTCAGGTCCATTCCTGGCTGTGCCGTTGCCTGTTGAAACCTTCCTCATCGATCTAGACTGGGTTCAAATGTCCCCTCCCCCAAGAATACCTTTTCATTCACCCCTTCTCCTCGGACCCTCACATACTCCTTCCGTCTCCAGGAAGCATGCCTGTCCTCCTCTTCACCTCCTTAGTGACTAGGAGTGTGCCACTTTGCAAGAGTTCTCACCGCTTGACTGGAGCTCTTTGAACGGGGGAGGGATGGCGTCCTGCCATCCAGAGCTCAGCACCCAGCAGAACTAACCTGGTAGATGTTCTACAGGAGGTCTTGTGCAGTTCCAGGTGATGAGACCCAGCTATCAAACCCTTTTAGATTACCTGCCCCTCTTGGATTCCTTTTGTTTTTTTAACCCTCCCTGAGGATATTTTTCTATTTATTTTCAGATAGAGTGGGAGAGAGGGAGGGAGAGAAAGGAAGGGAGAGAGACAGAAACATCCATATGAGAGGGACACATCGACCGGTTGCCTCCGTCATGACCCAAGCAGGGCCAGGAACAAACTGCAACCGCGGTACGTGCCCTTGACCGGAATCGAACCTGAGACTCTTTGGTGCAAGACTCTTTGGTTCGTGGGCCAACACTCTAACCGCTGAGCCAAACCAGCCAGGGCCCCTCTTGGATTCTTTTTGTTGTTGTTGTTGTTGTTGTTGTTTTATCCTCACCAGAGGACATTTTTTGTTCAGGTACAGTGGGAGGGAGAGAGAGAGAAACATCGACGCGAAAGGGACATATCGAGTGGCCACATGACCAACCAGGGCCGGGGACAAACTGCAACCGAGGTACATGCCCTTAGCGGGAACCAAACCCAGGTCTCTCTGGACCACGGGCCGATGCTCTAACCGCTGAGCCAAACTGGCCAGGGCCCCTCTTGGATTCTTAAATGTAGTATTATTTCATTAATAAATCAGTGTTAAGCCCTGATTTGCCCATGATAAGAGCTTGGATAAATGCAAAGATGAATTAAACTCAGTTTTCATTGTCTCAAAATGTTCTAGGCAAGTAAACAGATAAAAATAAAAGGGCGGGGACAGGGGGAGGTGGTAGCATGGTGTGAGGGTCTGGTCCCGTGTCCCTTTGAGAACTGTGAGGGACAGGGCGGAGAGGCTGCTGAGACCCCACCTGGCTGGTGACTGCAGGATGACTGTCAGGGAGCTCTTCCTTGTGACATCGCCGTGTCTTCTCCCAGAACAGGCTTCCCTTGGACAACTGGGTGGCTGCTATCGCTTGGACACTGTAAGTGATACAAAACAGAAAGATCTGCCTCCTCATTTTGACTTGCAGAAAGCTTAGACCTAAGTTTTGGCCCCTTCTACAACATTTTTGTTGC